CTAAATCGAAAAAATGAACATAAGTCGCCTTTTGTATATTTAAGCCTTCTAAATCTTTAACGTTGTAATATGTGATGTTTTTATAATGAACGTTGTTGTTTACAATTATATATTAAATATTGAACTTTGGCTATTAAAAGAAATATTCAAAAATATATATTGAACTTTGGAGTTTGCCATTTTGGATAACGTAGTTAGCTTTGTAAATATTTAAATTTGGACGTTTATGGCAAAGCCGAAGATGTTGATGCTGAGGCAGCCTCACCTGAAAATAAAGCTCATTGGTATTTGAGAGTCGTGGATCCAATTTTGGACCACAATTCTAATACATGCTTCACTCTGCAAATTTACCCTAAATTTAATGTTATTTGTATTTCCAACCCCTTTTCATGGTAAGATTGGATGTCTTTTGTGGATCAAACCCGGAAAGCACTCGGTACTCAGTCCTGAGTCATGGTATCTTCAATTCTTTTGCTTTTGTAACGTAGAAGAGATCGGTAAAGCAGGTAGGGATCTTATGTAAACACACATATTGGGATCAACAATCAGAAATCTTTGTCATTTACTACGTACCAAAGCAAAAGTAGCAGCACACAGTGGAGGACCACTTTCAACATAAGAATGGTAGATAAATTAATCAATAATATCAAAAAAATATTGAAGTTCCAACTTTAAATATACAAAATATCGCTTTTTAACGAATATTTATTGGATCAAAGCTTGGGTTTTTGTGTACTGTTTTGCAGAATGGATTTGTTTTATGAATGGCAGCATTGTCTGGCCTGCATTTGGAAATGACGATTATTTGCTTTCTTTATTGGAATTAGCAAGAGACAAGAGATTTCTTGATGTTAAGTAAAGTTGCAATAAATTAAAGCATACATTTGGAAATGACCATCTAGCTCAATTAGTAGAGCGCAAGGTTCTTAACCTTGAGGTCGTGGGATCGAGTCTCACGGAGGGCATTTCATAATTCGGAGGTCTCCCACGGAAGCTGCTCTTAACCTGGCGTTGGGGGCAGCCTACTATCCTACCTCCCCTTATCCCATTACATATGGGAATAAGGGTAAGCTAATTATAGTCCTCCGACCTTTAAATTAAACAAATTCGAACTAGTAATTTTCTAGATGTTATAATAATAACGTTGTCAATTGAAACAAAATTATTGACACAAGAGTGAGGCCAAAGTTTTTTCGTTAGGAGGTTGAAATGAAATTAAAAATATCTGGGAGGTAAATTTGTGTTAGGAGAATTGAATTATTAATTTTAGGGGGTTAAAATGTGATCATGTCATAGGAACCAATGGATAACTGTCATAAATTTTGTGTTAAAAGGGCCTAGATTGAATTATTAGTTTTTGGAGGGTGATAGAAAAGCAATTTCACCATACCATGGAGTACTTTTAGGGTGAATTATGCTGGTAGTTTTTTAACTTTTAAGATGCTTGCATTTTGGTCATCAAACTTTTAAATTTTGTATTGAAGCCACTAAACTTTAAATTTATTTTTGTTTCGGCCTCTCTCAGACTATTATTATATGTTTCAAAAGTTCAGTGAACAAAATGCAAATACAGATTACTATAGTGTAGTTTACTCATTTAAAAAAAGGAAAAAGAAACTACAAATAATTAAAATAAACAGTTATCCGCCTACAATTCTTGAAAAGAAGTTGGGGATTCCACTAGTGCAGGTTTATTAGTTTGTAATCATATGATCATGTTGGAATTTGACTTGCACAGATCCTGTCTCAACTTAGATGGAGAATTTAGGGGCCCCATGTCTTCTCTTTGAACATTACAAACCCTAATTGCATGCTTATGGATAAATTGCTAATTAGGTCTGTTAAACTTAATTATTCTATTTAGATGTACACCATGAACTTGGTTAAAACATCATTATCTATGTTGTTTTTATTACTAAGTTTGTTTTGAGGTTGTCTATAACCAAAATTGATACCTTTTTACCATACTTTAGATCCATGTTTTCCTCTCTTTTGTTTTCATGTGATGGTTGTTAAAATCGGAATTACGATCATTGAACGAGGATGAGAAGTTAAAAAAAAAATCTTGTAGTCATAAATATCTTATAATTTTAATATTATAATGAATTTATCTTTTTTTCTTTCTTTTGTTTATTTTTTCTTCGTGTAACTCGTAATATGATAAAATTAAATAACATTATTAATCGTTAAAAAAGATCGAAATAAAGAAACTGATCGTTCAACCGATTGAATACTAGTAGAGAATCACATGTATCACAATTTCTGCAAGAAGAATGGTCCCTTGGGATATAATTGAGCAAGCAGTCTAATCATATCAGGCAACTTTTATAGAGCTATTATTTCTCCAATCTTTCGGACAAAACCACCAGTTTTGTTTGTAGAAAGTCCAAACTAATTTATGAGCACACTTACAATGTTGTTGGTCCCTTTACAGGAATCCTAAGACTCACAAAACCCTACAAACCCTGTCTCTTTGTTTCAACACGAAAACAACCCTACTCCGCTGTATTAAATTACGTGGACCATCGTCTTCTTCCTTGTCTAGGTCAAACAAACAACAGTAACAAACATAAATGTTGTAATAGACTTGAGTTTTCATGTTCATAATAACCGTAATAATTATTGTAGTCCTTAGTTGTTAGAAATAAAGGTGTCTCCATTAACTATTTACAGTAATGTTTCGGTCTACCAATGAAGCTTTCTTTTAATTTCCATTGCTTTGTATCAGACCAATTGTGGCGTAACGTCCTAAAACCTGGGTTAGTAGAATCGAATATGTAAGTGAGCGGTTGATTCAATTTCATCTTTAATTTTTTTTAAAATTGATTTGAATTATCTAGAAAATTAAGAATTAAACCGAATCAACTATTTGATTCTATATTCGATTCTATTAATCTAAATTTCGAGATGTTATATGTAATGTAAAAGTGTTTATTAAAGATATATTAGTCCAAGTGTAGGGCTTTGAATCCTTTTTTGGGGTCATGTTTGGTTTTTATCCTTCTATTATGTTCAAATTTTGCTTTAGTCCTTTTATTTTAATTTAACATTGCATTGTCCTCATATTTTCATAACATCATTAGTTAATCCAAATTGTTAACTATTCTCATTAAAGTGTAAATTAATTTTTTATATAAATAATTTACATGCTTAAGGATGCTATTAATAAAAATCCATAACCAGCTACTCAAATTAATAAAAAAGTTTGCATGGTATTTGAATGTTCGGGTGTATTTTTCTTTAAAAAATCACATCATCGCTTTAACTAGAGTAATAACATGGTTAACAATTTGGATTAACTAATAACTATAAAAAACAGGAGGACAAAATCATTCTAAGTTAAAATATAAAGACCATATATTAGTGGAAGGATAGGTAGCCCCAAAGAGTGCCCTTTTCTCTCGGCAATAGGAAAGGCGGGGGAATGGTTATGCAAAATGCAATGTCCAACCGTTCAAATCACAAGACTAACTTTAAAATTACAATTCTATGAGAACTTGTAAAATCGTATTTGATGGATTTTAAATTAATTTAATTTAATAAAATTATTTTTTGAGAAAATAACCTCAGTGACGAAAAATCCCAGATAATATACGATTTTGACCAACTTTTTTTAGATTTGCGAAAATGACCAACAAAATCGCAATGCGATCTCTAATTCGCATTGCGATATCCACTATAGCAAATTCGCGTTGCATTTCGCGTTGCGATAGTTGAAAATCGCGTTACCACGACCACGACCCGACCCGAGACAGGCGGCGGCGGCGGCGGCGCGAGAGTCCCCCTTGTTCTCTATCACTCAACAAGGAAGTGAGAAAGTCAAGCCTTAAATACCATTCCCAATAGTGTTTCCAATACTATGTGGGATTGAGCATTACCAACACTTGTTTATAATACAATGTGATTATTCAGGAAATAATTAACAATCATGCACCTTAAAACAACTGAATTAGCAACTAATTGCATTAGTATTATACGATTAAATATGTCATAATTAAAAGTCAATCTACAATCAATCGCGATTATTACAATTTTAAGCAAAACATTCAAAAATAATATCACTATTTAAGGCTCAATTCCACATAGTATTGGGAACAAGTGTTGGTAATGCTCAAATCTCACATAGTATTGGAAACACTATTGGAATAGTATTTAAGGTTTGGCTTTCTCACTTTCTTGTTGAGTGATAGAGAACATGGGAAACTCTCGCGCGCCGCCGTTGCCGTCCATCTCATCTCGGGTCGTGGTCGTGGGAGAATATCTGCCTTTGCCTTTACCATCACACTCACAGTTACCCTCATCTCTCATTTTGCTTGTGATTACGATCTCGAATCTTTGCTTTTCTCTTTCCCTTTCTTCAATCAATTGGAAACTGTCAGTTGAGATCATGATCAAAGAATTAACGCATCCCCACTTGTTTACTTTTCAGAAAATACCAAAATCCCATGCTTACTTTTCCCCTCTTTTCATTCCCCACCCCCCTTCCTTGCTTCATTTCCACATGCTAACTAGGCCCTAGGATTACCATTTCATTTCACTTTAAACTTGGACATTTACACCATTATTATTGGCTTCACTCCCCTTTAGTCCCTCTGTTACATTGGAGTTTGAGGTTTAATATCTTCACCGATCCTTTTCATTTTATAATGTTATTAATAGGTCCAAATTGATAAACTTGTCAATTATTGGTAATACATCAATTATGTTGATCTAACTATAGTTCAATTCTTAAGGTTGTTTGTAAAAAAACATTTAAGGGTGTCAAAGTATTTAATTTTTTTTAAAAATCAATTATGTCCTTGAACTTTTTATACACCCAATTAAGCCTTTATACTTTAAAATTTCACCAATTCACCCATTGATCAATATTGACCATATGACAGAAATGTAATGTGCCGCATGAAAGTAATACATCAGAACAAAACTACTAAAACTTAATGACAAAAATTGATCAAATCTTTTAATTAATTTAATTTTTCGATTGAACAAATTAAACAATAATGAAAATTACATGAAGAAAAGGTCAAAGCTGAAAATTTTGGTTCCATGTGTATTGTGAACAAAAAAGAAAAAGAACTAAACTATCCAGCCATTAGCAATGGCTCGATTTGTTTCAACATGGGTAGTTTCATACACTGGCAGTTCTTCCTCGTACCTATGATTACCTAAAAGAACAAGGTGATCTAACTCGAACAGATCCGAACTCGAACATCTACTCACATTATCTTCCTCTTCATGGTTCAGTACATAATTCCTGCGAGAATCCCCTGAAATAAATTCGTTTTTCTCTTGATTTAGTTTATACTCTTTCAGAAACTCTCTAGCCATTTCTTCAACTCGCCTTGCTTTCTCCATTGTCTGAAACTTTATCTCTTGGTCATACTTTCCCGACGGCGGTTTCCATATTTCTCTTTGTCCGTACGGTCTGCTGTCTTCGTCCACAATTACACTCACGGGACAGAACCGAACAGTTCTTTTAGCCCCATCACGCTGCTTTTCACGCGTCGATGGCGTATTCTTGCTTAGACAGGATCTCGAAAATGATGAAGCCGAAGAACACGACGAGACCTGCTTTTGATCATGGCTTACTACGGACACGGTTGAAGATAATGCTGGTGTTGATGATGAACTTTTGGATTTCTTTGTATTACCTGTCGTGAACAACGAATTAACGAAACTCGCGAGCCGACCGCCTGGCGAAATGGGTGGTTGTCGTTGTTTTGCCTTCTTCAAATCACCATAGATTTTCTCGGCCGCCCTTTGTTCGGTTTTGACTGGCTTGTCGGTTTGAGCCGCCGACAATCTGGTCTTAACTGGTTTCGGCCATGGTCGAACAAAACATGATGGAGCTTTGGTTTTCGTACAATACATAGATTCGGTGTCAGATGATGAAAAGGAAAACCCCCCGGAACTCGAATCAGAAGAGATCGAAGTAGAGCTAAAGAAAACACAATCATGATCATGATCGTGATGTGTTTTTCTTACAAACTCAGAATCAGAGAAAACATATTTCTTATCTGCATTTGCCTTTTCACTAACCTTCTTTTCCATCCATTTCTCGATCAAACAAGCTCGTTGAAAACCCGACATCCTTTGTTTCCTCTGTATTGTCTCGCTGTAAAATCTCAGGTCTTCATTTTTGGTTTCCCCATCGTCGATTGAACGGTAGATTTTGTCGAGTAGAGTTGAAGAGAAAGATGGGCTATCTCTCATCGACGTTTTCATGGTTTCTCGTTTAGGACAAAGAGATAAACAAAGCTATTATCAAAGAACAAAACAAGGAGTTGGGGTTTTTTGTCCGTGAAGAAGGGCTCAAAAGCTGCAAAATAAAGAGGAAAAAGAGCAGGGATTTATGAAACAGGAAACGAATCACTGTTTCTATAGTGTATTTCGTACTGTTGCAATTTGGAAACGAAAGAAATGGAACATGAACAGAGAGATTTGATGCTTTTGCTGAAGAGAAAGGGAAGGAAGGGAAGAGAGTAAAGGGGAAAAAAACTGTGGAAGATGAGAAGGAAGGAACAGAAGCTTGTCAATATATAATAAAAAGGTATGACAATTTATGGTATCAGTCCTTATACTATTCTAAATTTGAAATATAGTCCTTATACTATTCTCAATTTGAAATATAGTCCTTATACTATTGTTAATGTGATGTGAGAACGTTTACTTAAAATAAATTATTGAAATTATAGACAAGAAAAAGTACAACTGAATCTGAATTGAAATTATAAGCGTGTACTTTAACTAAAATCAAACTTCACTATATATAAATACAACAAATCAAAGTTAGTATATTATATTTGGTCTAGTGGGATGAGGCACTAGATCCCTTAAGCAATGTCAGGGGTTTGAATCCTGGCGTTTGCGAATGGAGCAAACTGGATTGCGAGGGTCGCCCTCGCCTCTGCAATACCCGATCTGAATTAGTCGGTCAATAAATCAGATACCGGTAATTACTTAAAAAAAAGGTAGATTTGGAATTGTCCCCTTTTGGTGGCCATAATCTCAACTCCTTGCCTTACCCTTGATTTAAAAAATATACTGAATTTTTATAGAACAAGGACTAAAAATATAATTTGACCTTTTGTAGCCAATGCCAGATTATCATTTGTCTACGTGGCACTCTTTTTTTTAATTTATTTTCAATCCCGAGAATTCTTGAACCTTTAAATTTGGTCCTTTTATCTACTTTGAGAATTGGATTTATGGCCGTTTGATTATTATGGGAAGGAAGAGAAGGGTCTGTCAGTTCGGTGGGCCCAAATGTTTCTTTCATGTGGAAAAATTTTCTGGGTTTTTAAATATGGTAATGAATAATAGTTCTTAATAATTTAAGTTTCTTTTGGAAATAAAAGTTGTATATACTTTGATATGGGAGAAATTTTGGATATCAACACAATGAATTTAGGCAAAATTTTTGCATGAATATCGTAATGTGAAATAATTTAATTAATTGACATAATATATTTTTTCCTTTGAAAATAAAAGAAATATATAGATATTTAGTGTGTGAATTGAAAAAAAAATATTATTTTCTATATGGTACATTTTTTAAAAACCAAGTAAAATTTTAATGTGTTAAAAGTATATTCAATCAAGTGTGTAATTTAAAAGTATAGTTGATTAAATATATTTTTATTTTACAAGGCATAAGAATTTATTTTAATAAATAATCTAATATATATTATTTTGATAATTAATTTTTTAAATTTATATTTAAACAATTTAATCATATAATACAAGGTAAGAATCTAGATGAATTTAATATTTAGATTGTTACCAAATAAATTTATGGACCGTTGCCAATTTTAAATTTATTAAATTATTTAAATTTAAAAGTTCCAAAATAGTAAATTTATATATAAACATTTTTCATTCCACTTATAATTATTTGTTAAACTAATTTTCATAAATATAAATATATATGTATATCGTAAAATATTTTTTAAATATGAAGTATAAAAATAATTATTTTGAATATAAATTCAAATATTTTCGGATGTGTCGACTTTTGAACTCAAAACTTATTTTACTAATGTTAAATATAATTAGTGGGGTTCTAAAGATAATATGATAATCATTTTTACAAAATAATTTTAACCAAAAAAATTTCAGCCACGTGGCGATTAATCAAGAAGCTAAAATCATCACATAATATGATCCCTACTTCAGAAAAGCAAATTATATTACAATCATTTGCTCGACATGATTTGATACTTAAGCCATTTCTGTCTGATCATGTAGTTACCCACATTATTGTTTTGATTAAGAAATAATTGTGCTTTGAACCAGAAGATTTTAATATACGGTTAAGAAAAGATGTTATTGGTTTTGTTATTATTTTTTTAACAAAATCGGTAAAAAATTACCGGAAACATTATTATATTTACTGGTTTTGTTATTATTGGACGTTTTACCAGTTTTGTTAACATACATGGTAAAATGCTACTATTTTTGTTATTTTTCTACCGATTTTGTTATTATTGAGTACTTTACCGGAAATGTTAAAAAAATTTAATATTTTAGGTAGAAATAATAATGTATTCGATAATATTTTTACTGGTTTTGTTAAAAAAATAATAACAAAACCGATAACATATTTCCTTAACCGTATATTAAAGTTGTCGCATGATAAAATTTCCCTAAATTCACAATTTTACCAACACACGTGAATACATATATAACGAGATGGTATGAATTGAATCAGCAACCAAACAATGATGAATCAAGTGGACGAGGAGGTGCAAAGGAGTCTAGATCACATGAAAGATTATGTAATAAAGTTCAATTTTAAACTATAGTTAGCAAACGCACGATCATGCCAAATTCAACTTGGGTTAAATCAACAACATGTTTTAGGTTGATGAAAGTGATGTATTGAGGTTACAAGGTGGATCTTCGATAATAATCCCTATAAAAGATCACTTGTTTTTCGGTTTTGGATTTAATCATGAGTATTTATTTATTTTTAGGACATAAGTTACCGTAAATTATAATGTCTTTTAATATATTTAAATGGTTTTAATCCTTAAATTACAAACTTTAAACCTTAAAATATATAATTATAATCTCTAAAGTCTAAATAAGACACATAAATACATTAAAACTATGTTTGTGGACTATTGTTTTCACTGTCTGTGTATAGAATAACAATCCATAATATATATTTGGTATAACTCATCTTTAGCATTAGTATATATCACAACTCACAAATAACAAACAAGTCATTCTGACGATCCCAATCAACTGGGCAGGTTGAAAGTATAGATGTTCAGTCGGTTTAGATTGGTGGATGATTGAGTTGAATTTTTTTTAAATTCAATTAATCAAATTTTTTATCATTAATTGAATCAATTTTATTTTGATAAATATTACTCGAACTGAAAAAAATTCGCTTGATTTTTGAATTAACCAAAATTTGTTATAAGTTTTTAGTTGGATTAATTCGGGTTTAGTATTATTGATATTTTTATTTTGGTTAAAATTTGATTCAATCTTAAAAGTTTAATGAGCCTATTGTGGTTAAAAGATTGTTAGATGTTGATTCTTAACGAGTATGAACTTAAAATACACATGTAATATATATATATATATATATATATAGTTAGTTAGTTAGTTTAATGGGTCTATCGTGGATCATATACACCTATTATTTATTTCTTTTTTGTTACAAAGAGAGAACTAGAAAGAGAAAACGAAAATCAACATTATTTTTTTTATTTTGAGATAAAAAACTCTTAAATATCCAAAATTATAATTTAAATATTATTTTTTTAATTAAAATTTTTATTTAAACGAAACAAGACCGGATTGTCAGCTGACTGTTTTCTTTTCATTCTTAAAAATAGAGAAAAACAACAAGGACCGTAATCTTTGCACAGACGCCAATAATTAACGGCTGATATGGATGCCATCACGCTTTGCTCCGCCGGTGGGACCCTAAATATGGTCATTTGTGGTGGCCGGAGTGGGGAGTGGGATCGGTCCATTTCGGAAGGCACGTGAACCGTTTACACATTGTTTTCGTTTAAATTTAAACAAATTAAATTTTAATTTTAAAATTTTAATTTAATAATTAAACGTGGGTTCATTTTTTACTATTATTTATATTTATCATTACTCTATCGGTATGGTTATATCATAATCCTCGAAATCATTCAGCATCCTCTTCTACTATACATTGTTTAAATTAGAGAAAATAATTTCAGTGACCGAAAATACCTTATAATATACAATTTTAATCAACTTTTTTTGGATTTACGAAAATGACCAACAATTTCGCAACATGAACTCCAATTTCGCAACACAGGTTCCAAAATCGCAACGCAAATAGGTAAATCGCAACGATAATATGTAAATCGCAACACGAATATGTAAATCGCAACACAGAAGTCAAATTCGCAACGCTAATTACTGATATATGTAAACAGTACTATCGCAACGCGAATTTCGTTTTCGCAACGCGATTCTCCAAAATCGCAACGCGAATTTCATTTTCGCAACACTAATTACCTATATCGGTAATTAGCGTTGCGAAATTCGAGTTGCGAATTTAGAGAAATCGCGTTGCGATTTACATATTATCGTTGCGAATTTGACTTTCGCGTAACGAATTTCATTTTCGCAACGCTAATTACCTATATCGGTAATTGGCGTTGCGAATTTCGTTTTCGCAACGCGATTCTCCAAAATCGCAACGTAAATTTCGTTTTCGCAACGCTAATTACCTATATCGGTAATTAGCGTTGCGAAATTTGAGTTGCGAATTTGGAGAAATCGTGTTGGGATTTACCTATTCGCGTTGTGAATTACATATTATCGTTGCGATTTAACTATTCGCGTTGCGAATTTGGAAAATCGCTACGCGAATTTCGTTTTCGCAACGCGATTCTCCAAAATCGCAACGCTAATTACCTATATCGGTAATTGGCGTTGCGAAATTCAAGTTGCGAATTTCGTTTTCGCAACGCTAATTATCTATATCGGTAATTAGCGTTGCGAAATTCGAGTTGCGAAAATTGAAGAATTTGCGTTGTGATTTACATAGCGTTGCGACGATTTACCTATTCGCGTTGCGAATTTGACTTTCGCGTTGCGATTTTGGAACTTGTGTTGCGAATTTCATTATCGTTGCGATTTTGGAACCTGTGTGTCGAAATTAGAGTTCGCGTTACGAATTTGTTGGTCATTTTCGCAAGTCCAAAAAAAGTTGATTAAAATCGTATATTATAAGGCATTTTCGGTCACTGAAGTTATTTTCTCTTTAAATTATCGATAATTTTTTAATTTCTATATAATAAAAAGTGCATACAAATTTATAATATCAACACATATTATAAAAATAACAGTATGAACTGAATTCATATTTTCTCATTCGAATTATTTTTGTTCTTTATCTGTAAGTTTTGTTGTCTGATATATTTGTATAGTTTGTACGTGAATCCAGATTCATAAATAATATGAAAACTTGGGTGATTGTGCATAATG